GTACCATGCAAATGTAAAGGAAGGCATAAATTTAGTTGTAGCCACCTGATCACAAGAAAATTTGATGTTACAGCTAAACCAAGTTTAAAAAACAAAACAAAACAAAACTCCAGGCAGCTCAAGACACTTTCAGACAAAGGAAGCCTGGCAAGCTTCTGCCCAGAGGTCTTGCAAACTCAATAGCCTGTTACTAGTAATGGCAATACTGTATTAATGGGCTACCAAACTACAGATACAGCAAAGACTTAATGAGTTGTGTTTTCATTCACTTAAAAGATGATGCTAAAAGTTAGTGAAGGGAAATAACTGACATTCGCTTAGGCTCTGGATCCTTTGGCATGATTTGCTGGGGATGGAGAAGCATTTTAGAGTATCTTTGTGTTCTTTGGTAAACTGAAGTCTAAGAAAACATTGATTGTAGAGTAACTGATGAAAGTTAGCAATATTTTCTATTCTTATAAGGAATATAAGAAATCATAAAGATAATAATTTATTATTATTATTACTATTATATATAAATATAATATTTTTTTGTGAAAAAATGTATCTAGAGTACTATCCTATTCTTTATAAATGGATGCAGGTTGATATTTATGCATTTTCTTCTCATATTCCTATTTCTCTTGTTAGAGAATAGCAAATATATGGTCTTTGGTTCTTAGCAAAAGGAAAAGTTAGTGATGTTGATTTTGGGAATATCCAAACCATAACTGACACTATGGAAAAAGAAGCTATGGAACAGAGATGATCAAGCAGTATACAAGGAAATTTTTTTTTTCTTTTTTCCCCCCCAGGATTGGGTGCAAACACTGTTGCACAGAGAGCAGTTATTCCCTAAAAACAGAGAGTACAGTGAACAAAGATATTTCATCTGTTTCCCCAGCTCTCCCCACTAGTGTTTCTATTCAAGCTGTGTGTCCTGGTTTCGGCAGGGATAGAGTTAATTTCCTTCCTAGTAGCTGGTACAGTGCTGTGTTTTGGATTTAGGATGAGAACAAAGTTGATAAGGCACTGATGTTTTAGTTGTTGCTAGGTAATGCTTACACTAGCCAAGGACTTTTCAGCTTCCCATGCTCTACCGACTGAGAAGGCTGCAGGTGCACAAGAAGCTGGGAGGGGGCACAGCCAAACTGGCCAAAGGGACATTCCACACCATGTG